CGGTCCTGTGACGACGGAGGCACACACTGGGTGATGCGGCCACACGCCCCGGAGCGCCTGGAACCCCAGAGGCAGGACGAGGCTGGACAGACACCCCGCAGAGCCTCGGAGAAGCACGGCCCTGACATACCGTGGTTTCAGCCGGTGAGAGCGGATGTCTGCCCCTGTGAGCCTCCAGGTGCGGGGGCAGGGGTCGGGCCGCCAGAGCCTCGCAGGGCGTGTCCCCAGAAAGAAGCCGCAGCGTCCCCTCCGAGAGCCGAGGGCCTGCGCGCCTCAGGACTTGGGTCTCCGGGACGTCGCCTCCACACCTGCAGTCAGCGTGACAGGGTCCAGGGTGTCCAGACTTGTTCCCCTCGCTGGTGTGAGCCCCCGGTGGGTCTGTCTGCCGCGGGGCCAGCTGGGAGGGCTGGGATGGCTCGTCTGACCTCCAGGCCACCCAGAGGAGCTGCTCCCCACTCCCGGGGACCCGAGCACGGTGCCCCGACCAGCTCGCCCACCAAGAGCGTCCACTTCTGCCGCTTCCTCTCCCACGCGCTCTGCCTTTCCTCCTCTCCGTCTCCCTGTCACTTTACACAGGCGTCCTGAGGGCAAAAGCAGGAAGCACCTATGTGCTGTTCTTTCAACTGGGAGCCCAGGACGAGCACTGCTGAGTTTCTACGAACGGTCTTACAGGAATCTCCATGCCGGTGTGTGGGGCTCAGAGCCAGGGCCCAGTGCTCGGGGCCCGGTGCTTGGGGTCCAGCACTCGGGGTCCAGGGCTCACGGCTACGTGTACCCTCCTCCTGCTGTCCACCCCGGGCAGGTGCCTGGCTCAAGGAACCGTAAATGGTGTCTGGCTGGTGGAGTCAGGAACCACATGCTCCAGGTGCCCCCAGAGCAGAGGCCCCACGTGTCACTCTGCATGGACCGCTCAGAGGGTCCAGATCTGGCACATGCTAGGCCCTCAGGGGTACACCTGGAATCCAGGAACGCAGAGACCTCATGGGTAACTGGGCAGTGTGGACACGGCGAGTTGTCCTCAGGACGGCAGAGCTGGGCAGTGGCCCCCAGCCTGGCCTGTGCTAGCTCACACCCAGGACCGGACACTTGGCACTGCAGGAGACGCCCGTCGGCAGAGCCCAACAGGACTACAGAGAACATAACCCACCCGGGGGCTCACCTATCGCGTGATCTGGTTTGCAGTGAGCGCCGACCTCTGGGACCGTCAGGCTGGGCCGGGCGTCCCCTCCCAGTGTCGTTCAACAGAGACACCCCGCCGCTGCCCACACCTTCCCTGGCGGTCCCCCCCGGACAGCTGTCGCAGATGTGCTCAGGCGGTGGCGGCTGTGCCACCCGTCAGAGCCTGCTCATGGGAAGTGTTGTTGGGGGAAGGGAGTTCCCAGGAAATCCCAGGTCCTGGATAGAACTAGACGGACACCCCAGTGAGGGGTCCTCATGCCTCACAACGGGCCGTTGACACAGGACGGAATTAAGAGGTGTTGCGTAACAGCTCCCGGGGAAGATGGGTTCCCTTTTGGCTGGTCCATTCTGATTGGGGAGACGGGACAGCAGTTCACGTCGGGAGCCCGGCAAAACGTACACGTGTGGAAGTGTGGTGGAGCGACTCCCGAGTACAGCATCATGGTGGCCGCCAGCACGCGACCCTTGTGAGCTCAGCCTCTAGCATCTGAGGACGCGCGCGGCATGGGGAGGGCAGGAGGGCACTTCGCTCTCGGGGTGGACCCAGGCTGGGCGCTATCAGCGACTGCGGAGCTCAGGGAGACCGTCTCTGGGGATGCCATGGGAGGGCGCTGTCGCCCTGGGGGACAGCCTGCAGCGTCCCCCACGTCTCCTTTCCTGGTGCTGACTGGCGTCCACGGGACCAACCCAGGGTGGGAAGCGGAGCCTGGAAATCCTGCGCGGATGCCGGATCTTCCCCGTTTCCAGGACGGTGGCTTCCCCGCGATTCACCGTAACCTGCAGCCGTCACCGCGTCCCGCTGGCGACCCTGCGTGCGGGAGCTGCGCTCAGCCGGACTCCCCCTCAGGACACGACATTCTCTGATATTTTTACTTAATTTCTTCTTCCTTCTCCTAAATGTGGGTCACGACCCAGCAAATTAATTTCACGACCCACTAATGGGGTGAGGACCTGACCTCCGAGGAGCGTCCTCGGAAACGCACGCGTCAGCACGTTCCCGGGCTCCACACAGGTGACAGCACAATTAATTATCGCACGTTCTCATGTCCGCCCTGAGCGGGGGGCTGGGCGGGGGCCTGTCAGGCCCGTGTCCGCCGCCGGCTGCTGCTGGGCACAGAGACGTGAGCGGCACGGCCCTCGCAGAGGAGTGGGGCGGGACGAGGTCGGGGTGGGGGACAGCCCTCCAGACATGACTGTGGCCGCTGAGGGGGCTGTCACGTGGCCAAGCAGCCACAAGGGCGCTCCAAGCCCATCTCACGGAAAACCTACTCGTGGTGAAACGGGACGCGGCGGTGCTGACCGACGTCGGTGGAGGGACCGAGCTGCCGTCCTGAAGACCGGACCACACGCTCCAAGTATTTGGTGTTTGGGCCGAGAGCCTGAGTGAGCTTTGAAGAAAGCTTTGCGAACGGCCACCACATGCAGGGCCGCTGTCAGAGCCAGAGACGCGTCTGCAGACCCCTGGGGCGGCCCGAGCCTCCAGCATCACCACGCAGCCCCTCAGCGGGACGTGCCAGCCCAGATCCAGAGCACGCGCCCTCCACACGGCCAGGAGCGCCGGGCCCCAGGCGTGCACCCCTGTGGGGGGCGAGGAGCGCCGAGAGCGAGCCCTTCGGCAGACTGGCCCCGGCCCGCCCAGCTGTCCTGCCCACACCCGGGCCGGCAGGGGCATCTGCCCGAGGACCAGCGGCCCCCCAGGCGGGCCCCCCTGAGAACGGGCAGACGGGAGAATCCAGCTTCAGAGTTAAAAGACGCGTGGGCTTGTGCTAAACCAGACCCAGGGTTTGGAGGGGGGGCCAGCAGGCAGACAGACCACGTCTGCTGCCCACTTCCGCCTGTGGTTTTCACAGCAGCCAGACCAAGGCAAGGGTCCTGAGTTTCTGGGCCTGTGGGGTCACGGGACCAGCCTCAACAAGGGACTGCATCAAGGAACAGAGCCTGCCTTCTGGCGCGGGGCCTGCGAGAGGGGCTGCAGGACGGGGCTGCAGAGCTCAGGACTGGGGGAGGGCTTGGGAGCCTCAAGTCACCCGTGAGACCTTGAGCGGTGCTGCTGGGTCACCTCCTCCAGCTGGCTGGCCCCCAGCACCGGGCTCGGGGCCTGGAGTGCAGGCCTGACCCCACAGTCACACCCCAGGGCCACTGAGGTGGGCGGGTGGTGTGGAACCTCCCCCCAACGCCCTCCCCCAGGTGCTTGTTAAAAAGACCCCGTCACAAGCATGTCCCGCCCTCAGGGCTGCCATGGGCCCTGCGGGGAATCCACGCACTGACCCGCAGCTCCCAGGGACGGGGACAGTGACTGGCTGTCTAGAATCTGCTTGTTCCCAGCTCTCTGACTTTTGGGTACAGCACGCAGAAAGACCCGGAAAGATCCAGAAAGGTAAGCTACCTCCTGGATGCCCCTGGAGGGGACAGCACACGCCAGAAGCCCCCAGGCCCCTGAGAGCCACCCGGTAGGTGGCAGGTCACGAGCCGGTGATCCCCACACACATCAGAGGTGCGAGGCCCAGCTGGCCGGCTTCCGTGCTGGGCGTGGGCGGACAAGCAGGCGGACATGGCCTGGGCGGCTTCTGGGCTACAGAAGGCTCCCTGTGGCCTCCCCGGCCTGTTGGCTGACAGCCGCACTCCGCCGGTGCCGTGGGTCCTGCCCACGCTGCCGCCCACACAGACGCGCCTGACCCCCACAGACAGACGACCCGTCCTCAGAACATGCCCCCGAGGGGCCCGGGTCGTGCTTTTCCTCGGCAGCCACAGGAGGCCTGGACATGCGGCTGGACGGCCCGCCGGGGCTCCCCCGCAGAGACTGACCCGCGAGGAGGGAGGAAGCGGGGCGGGTTCTCCCCCTCCCCAGCGCCAGGGGCTGCAGCCCCCATCTTGTGTGACCCAGTGAGGACACTCGGATGCCAGCCGGGCTTTCCAGATCCTTCCCTGCGGGCCCCAGACCTCCCTGACTGGACGTTCCCAAGACACAGAGGCGGAAAATCAAGGCCTGGAGATCACAACCCACTTCAGGTCTCAGGTTCTATGTGGAGCACACGGAAGAGTCAGGATTGGGGTGACAGGCAGCGGGGGGCAAGCAGAGGCCGCTGCTGGACTGGCCGAGATCTGCAGAGCCCCAGCGCCCAAGCCTGTGGACGCAGGCGTCGGCTCCTGTGGCTCACACCATCGTGCGTGGGCCTTGAGGAACTTGCCTTGAAAAAGGGACCTCAGAGAGCAGCCCCGGAGCCCTTCCCCATCCTCCCCTCCGTCCCCTCGGGACAGCAGCCATGGGGCCCAGGCGGGTCTCGGCTCCTGGGACAGAGGGTATGCAGGGGCCCCTCAGCGGGCTCTGGGAGGGACTGGGGTGCCCTTGGGGATTTCAGGGTTGGGGCCTCTGCTCCGGACGGCCACCACGCAGTACCCAGAGAGGAGCAGACCTTGAGGACCGCGTCCTTCCCCAGTCCTGCTCCCTAAAGAGGCTTCAGCGGCTGTGGGGGGTCCTAACCCGTCCTCCTGCCTGAGCACACCCGCCATCCCAGCAACGAGACGTGACCAACCACCCCGTGGGGCTCTGAGCTGCCTTCTGGGCGGACGCCTTCAGGCTGGTTCTGTCCGGCCCCTGGGCCCCCCGCCGCGGGACAGTCTGACGCAGTAGGGACAGACCGGCCCGGTCGCAGGGGGCGAGGACAGACCGTGCGGGGGAGACAGCGAGGCCGGCGTGCTTCCACACCAAGCCAGCTGCCCCGTCCCCCGCCTGCCGACGTGGGACCCACCTCCCCGCGGGGACCCGCCGCCCGGGGCCGGCTCGCCTCTGCTGCGCAGGGTGCGCGGCGCCGCGTACGCACCGTTGTGGTCTTCACCCGCCCGCCGGGCTGCGTGCACGTCCAGCCTGACCGGTTGGTGAGGAGGTCACAGCCTTCGCCCTCCAGACACGGCAGCATGTCGCACCACTGCTTTGTCTTGATGATCCGCGCTGCGGGAGAGAAGAGAGCCGCTCAGCCGCTGCCCCCTGGGCCCCGGGACAGTGCCGGCAGCCCGACTCCCGCCCTGGGCAGGGACGGCCCGGTGGGCAGCGCCTGGCGTCCATCAGGGGGCCGGGCCTCTGCTCCTCCCTGTCCCCGGCCCCCTCTTGAGCGCTGTCCCCGGGCCCAACTCTGCCGCCAGCCCATCAGTAAGCGGCGGCAGAGGGAGAACTGGGACCACCACGTGCACGTCCTTCTAACCGCACGTACGAGTGGTTACACGGTGATAAGTCCGGGGCCCACGCAGTTACACCGTCTGGGTGCTCAGACCGGATTCCCACCACGGGCCAGATGCCATTTCACCTCAAAGCTGAGCCCTCCACGTGCACACTTCCAAACACGGCGTCCTCCCCAACTCCAGCCCACTGCTGCGGAAGGCACAAAACCTGGGATTTCCTAGGACACGAGGATGTGGAGTCTGGGTCCAGGCCACGTGAGGACACGTGCGTCTTTGGGCACCTGCCCTGTGCTCCCTACGCTTCACTGGCCCCTTGGGGGCAGCAGGAAAAGGTGAGCGGGTTGGGAGAGAGCCATGGTGTGGGTCTCGGGGCCGTTTCTGGGGATACAGGAGCTCATCACCCTGGGCCAGCTCCTTTCTACGCTGTGCCATGAACTGGGCTGTGCCCCCAGAGTAACATGGCAAAGCCCTAAGCCCCAGTGTGCGGGTCCTTAGATGGTGTTTTTAGAGCAGTAATTCAGGTTAATGGAGGTCACGAGGCTGGGGACCCGACCCGAAAGGATCAGTGCCCTCGCGAGTAGGAACACCAAGCTGTACGAGGCCTCGAAGCACCTGGGCCGGCCGGCCCGTCATCTCAGACCCCTGGCCCCCAGGGCGGGGAGACGCAGCTGTTTGCTGCTGAGGCCACCGCACCTGTGGCCTCTGTCCCCGCAGTGCAGCAGGTGGTGGTGTGGGGGAGACCCACCCCTCAGATGTGGTTCTCATCTTGCTGGGACGTCAGTGTGGGAAACACGCCAACCAAGCGCCTGTGCGGGTCCCCGGGGCAGGGTGAGGACGTGCTGGATCCTGCTCACCGGGGTCGACCTCATCCTGGGGAGACCCCAGGACGGGAAGCTGGGGGCAGGCGGGAGCCCCTTCCCGGACTGCTCGGCGGGAGCTCAGCGCCTTTCCCTGCACATCCCTGGGGCCTCACTCCTCCTCTGCTCCCTCTTCCTGCTGGAGCCCCAAGCAGCAGGGCCTTCTCAGAAGCTCCGTCTGGTGACAGGAAGAGATGGCCCGGAAGCCCGGCTGGACACCAGCAAACACACCCCTTGAGCCCACGGAGAGGCTAGAGGCTTGGAGCACGCACACAACCTAACCCCTGGAAATCCTGTGCGGGGCGTCTGCGCAGATCCTGACGCGGAAGGGGCGGCTTGTCTGGGCTCAGTCGTGAGGACCGGGCAAGGGGGCTCAAGGAGCTTCTGTACTTGCGCTCCCGTCTGTCCCCCAGCCATGCCCGGGAAGCGCTGTCAACGTAGGGGGCCAACGATGCTGATCCGCACTGCAGGGAGGCCCAGGGCCACCCGTCCTGTCTGAGGGGCCGAGAGCAGGACTAAGGCTGTCTCAGGGACGGCTGTGCCCTCCCACGGCAGGAAGGCAATGTGCTCCACAAGAGCACACGCGCACACGCAGACACATCAAGTCGCTGATGGGCACCCCTCCCCCACGCGGGGTGGCGTCCGGGTGTGTCGGGTGCCAGGGCTGACGAGGGCGCCGCGGGGCCGCTGCTGAGCACACACGGCTCTTGTCTGCCACTGGGCTTGGCTCACCCTGCCGAGCCCACTTCCTGCAGGAGGCGGTGGGAGGCACAGCACGGGCCACCCCATCCCAGGGACAAAGGGACCTTTCATGCCACATGTCACCACTTCCACGATGCTGAGGCAGCTCCAGCGCCCAGGAGGGCGTCCTCCGGGAGCTGACAGTGCACAGGGGCATGAGCGACAGCAGCTGACCAGTGGCCTCTGGGGACTGTGGTGGCAGCCAGCCATGTGCCATAGCCACAGGAGACCCCTCGGCCCATGGTGTGTCAGGGGTCGTCACCACGTCTCCCAGGCCTGTCCCCAGGCCCGAGGAGACACCGAGCTCTCTGGAACATGGACAGGCTTGCGCCCTCAGCACGGGTCTGTGCACCTGCTGCTGGTCCGGCAGGGGCGTGAGCTCACAGCGCCGCCTGCGTGTTCCGTCCCGAGTGCCGAGGGCCTCAGGCTGGGGCTCAGTGCAGCTCCGGACACTGCTGCAGGCTGCCCTCCATGTGGGCCTTTAGGTGCTTCTGGGACGGGGGCTCTGCCTCAGTTTCCCACTGCTTCAGCCCAGACATGTAAACGTAACATGAGCTATGGGCACCGTGCGGGCGGCTGGCTCAGGACACAGACGGCGCTGGGAGGGCAGTATGGGGACCGAGCGACGGAAAGGTGATGGCCAGGCAGAGCTGGTCACCCTGGTCTCAGGAGAGAAGTGAGTTAGGTGGCTCTGGGCCACGTGGTGGGAGGCCAATGTGCCCAAGCAATACTGGGACAGGCAGTGACCAGGGCTGCAGACAGACCAGGGCGGCCGGAGTGATGGAGTCTGACAGGGGGCAGCACGGACCCTTCAAAGGAAGGACAGGGAATGAACTGCCTTCAAGGGAAAGGACAGCCTTCGGAGATGGAGCAAGGACAGCAAGGCCCCGTGCCTCCCCCAGCTACCTGTATGACAAGATGATGGTCCTCTCAAGGCCTTTTCTAGAGAAAGTAGGGACCTTTCCTCCCTGGGCTTCAGCTTGACCATCCTTTCCTTGGGGCATCCGCTCCCCATTCGTATGGGTGTGCACCCCACACCAGCGAGCAGAGGCCCCACAGGGTTTGCACAGCGAATGCTAGGGACCTCGTGTCACATGGCAGGAGGAAAGCATGTGGCAGGACACATGCATGGCTCTGTCCCCAGTCCCCGTTGTGACTGGATCGTGCAGCGAGGCCAACGTGTCCACGCACGTGAGAAGCTCGCGGCGGGCACTGGAGGGCCTCTGGGCGGCTCTGCGTGAAATCCCAGGCCTGCTCACGACAAAGACTCACAACGATCAGCGCGGTTCCTTGCAGCGTGTGGCGTCCCCAACCTCACAGCCCGCAGCGAAGGCAGGAGGGCCCGCAGGTGCGTCTCCGCGGCCGGCCCAGCGCCAGGGTTGGGCTTCCCCAGATGACTGCCTTGTAACACGAACACTGCCAATTTAAATTTTATGAGTTTTGCAGTTTTGCTTGTGTTTAATCTGTCAATGTTTCAGCTTATTCCGGCTTATGGTCTGCTGGGGGCTCCCCGCTTGCAACATCATAATAAAAACGATTTAGGTCACTAACAAGGGGCCCAAGGAAGTAGCTTTCCCTTCAAAGGAGTTCTCAGATGACTGAGGTCTGAGGAACACTGCTGCCCGCCCACGGCTAACTGGTCAGGGAAGGAGGCAGGGCTGGTGCCCAAGATCTGGACGTACGTGGAGCCCCACGTACTCTGGACGTACGTGGAGCCCCACACCCAGTGGGCCAGCTCTGGACGTACGTGGAGCTCTGGACGTACGTGGAGCTCTGGACGTACGTGGAGCTCTGGTGAGCTCTGGACGTACGTGGAGCCCCACACCCAGTGGGCCAGCCTGGGACTGTGGAAGGAAGCCTGGGAGGAGCCTGCCCTGTGGCCCACTGCCCTTCCTCCAGCCAAAGGGGTTTTGGTCTCCTTCTCCTGTGGTGGCCGCCCCTGGGTTCTCCCTGCTGTGGCCCCAACCCAGAGACAGGTGTGTGTAATGCTCATGGAGCATGGGGTCCCTGTCCCTCCATTGTCCCTCCGGCCCTTCTGGTGTGGGAAGGGTCTCCCCTGGGATTCTAACAGATTGCACGTCTGCTTTAGTCTTTGGGGTAAAAAAAAAACAAACAAAAAAAACATGTTATGTTGTTGGCAGCATCACACAGGCATTAGAGCTGGCCCCAAACTCAATTAGGCTTGGATCAGTCCCTGCTGCAGCTGGCCCACCCCTCCATGGAGCCGGGTCAGTGGCTTCCTTCTCCTTCCTTCTGAAATGACCTGTGAAGGACAGTGTAGGAAAGGGCATGAACTGGTGCTGCCACTCAATGGCCCCTCACTGAACCTGGGGGACCCTCAGCCCTGGTTCTCCTTCCTGGAGCACATTCCAGAAATCTCCAAGGTCGAGGGGTCTGGCTGCAAAGTCATCTATGCTACCCGACCCTCACTCTCAGCAGATCTAGCTTCCTCAGGCTCAAGAGGCCTCCTCATCACCACCAGCACCACACCATATGGCATCGTCACCTTCACCACAACTACCACCACAGTCACCACCACCATCATCATCACCATCATCACCACCATCACCATCATCACCATCATCTCCATCACTGTCCTCACCATCACCATCATCACCGCCATCACCACACCGTCACCACCATCATCGTCACCAGCACCCTTGCTAACCATCAGCAGCATCAGCAGCTCCTGGATTTAGCCCTTGTTGTGCTGAGCACACTGGTCCCTTCGTTCCCACCAGAGTTCTTGGTGGAGGCTCTCAGGAACCTCATTCAGACGGTGCAGGTTCTGAGTACCCTGTGACGTGGAATACTGAGAAGCTGGGTTTCGAGCCTGGAGGTCACCCTGTACCTGCCCCCTGTGCTCCCCGTCGTTCCAGCAGAGATTTCCCTCTTTTCAGAGCCCCCCCACCCCACCTGTCCCAGCCTCATACCTCCTGCCTTGTGCCCACAGTGCAGCATGGGGGAGGGCTGGGGAGGACTCATAAACCTTTCCCTGAGCACGTGGCTGGAGGAGTCCTTTGTGTTTCATTCCCAACAACCTCCAGCCTTCTTGGGGGACAGCTGACCTGGAAGGCTGCAGAGCTGTGTTTGCACAAGCCTCACACTCAGTTTCCCCAAATCAGCAGAGGACTCTGATGGACGCAGACACACATACAGCTGCGGGAAGCAGGGC